ATATCCAATCACTGTCAAATTATATTTAAATATATATAACTGGTACCATTCTATAAATTATGTAAAAAAGTTATGTATTTTTTTCTCAATCTCACTGTGTCATATTTAAAATAACAAAAAGTTTTATATAATTAATTACAAATTTTAAAACAATATTTCTTTAGGTTCACAATTACTGGCAACAGAGGTTAATGTCATTATTTAATCTTAATTTCAGATATTTATTTAATATTTTTATAATTTCAAAAAAAAAACTTCACTGCCAGTGTTTCATAAGTTTAATTAATAACTAAAATGAAAGAAAGTTGTTTCGACGTGTTCCTAAATAAAAATTATCTAAAATGAAAATTCCGAACAATGATGAAAATAACTTTAAAATGTGCAATTCAAAATAAAATTTTAACATTGATGAATAAGGTTTCCAAAATATGCTTCATACAATTTAAAAAAAAATGGATAAACAAAAATTACTTTTTAATATTACTTATACAGTTTCCATACAATCATCAAAATTACAATATAATTTGTTGTGTTAAAATATTTTTATTTTTTCCATATTAATTTAGAAATATAACGAGACTCTTAATTTCTCCAAAACATGTTATTTAACTTAGAGAGCAAAGTTTTTATTATATAATAAAAATATATTTTCAACTTAAAACATATGTACGATGCATGTGGGTTGGCTTTCAATTTTAAAACATATATAGAATGAAGTAGTAAGTTTAGTTTCAACTATTTATAAAGAGAAGACAAGGGTATTATTTTTTTATTTTTTTTTTGCATTTTATCTATAAAAGAATGGTTTTATCTTTGACTGTGTTTGGATTGAATAATAGATGAGAGAGTGGGAAATTAAAGAAGAAAAATTTTAATTATTTGGATTGGATGAAAATAGTAAAAAGTTGGATTATTTGAATTAAAAAAATAATATGAAAAGTAGAAAAACTAAATAAAAATAATAAAAAATTGAATTTATTTTATTGATAAAATAAATTTATTTATTATTTTAATATTTTATTTATTTATTATTATAATAATTAAAAAAATATTTAAAAAATAGACATAATTGATTATGAAATATATTTTATGTTAATAAAAAAAGAAAGATAATAATATTTCAAAATTCTTCTCATAATCTCATTGTATTCCCTTGTCAATATTATCTTGATTATTGTATATTTGGCCTAGTCCTTTAATTGAAAAGTGATGATTGCTTTTTGGGGTTTGATCTCGATTTAGAGATTTAAATCTACCATAACTATTGTTTCTCATGTGTTATGGGATGTATATGAGTGAGGTAAGATGATTGATCATTTATTTAAAAGAAATTAAATAATATATTATTAATAAATAATAAATAAATCTAAAAAAATAAAAAAATGAGAAGATAAAATTGTAAATATATATACAAATGTATAAAATGATCATCAAATACATATGAAAGTTGCAAAATTTTTTTGTATTATTCAAATATTTTGGTATTGTGAATATTTTTTGCCTTTACGAGATGTGTTTATCCTTCTTTTCTTTAAGTCCCTTTCGAATATGATTATTTTCTTATTTTAGCATCATTATTTCTTCTATGTTTTCTTTATTAAAGTTTTCTAACTTTCTTCTTAGTTCAGCTAACAAGTTGCTTCCTTGACATGACTTTCACTTATCTCCTTTTACAGTGAATTCTATCTTTTCATGTTGAGTATCATTTTCATGAATACTATCAAGTTGTATTTCTATAAGATCGAGATGATTTTTATCTTTAACTTAATTATCATTTAATATATTTATTTATATATTTATAATTTTGTTTTTTCATTTTTTTTACTCTTTTATATTTATTTATTATTTAGTAATTATATATTATTTATTTTGTACTCTTTTATATTTATTAATTATATATTATTTGTCCTAAAACCAATTATTAAGATTTAGAACTGAACATTGCCCTCCTTACCTAGGTGACTCTGAATTTTTGCTAAGTATTTCTTAAATCTTTTAAGGATTTCGATTCTTGGTAACCTTTGTGTGTTGCAAGTTTGTAGGTTTGACTTATTTTTTGAGCTGACAAGTATTTGGAATAGAACTAAAAAATGGGAATACCTGCAAAAATACTATTATTAAAGTAAAAATATCATTATTTCTTTTCATAAAATTTACTAATACTTTTAACAAATAGTGTTTTTTCAATTTTCTTAAAACAAAATCTATTCCAAACATATACCATGTGTTCCTTATTTCAATGAATACAAATATCTAAATTTCATATTTTAATGCTTTTTAAAAACGTTGTCACATATATAATATACAAAGCTTTATTATATGGGGCCTTTCGTGTATATAACACATTACAGATTGATTTTAATATTTAATTATTATACATACCTACTTATTTTATTTATTTGTAATTATTATGTGACGAATTATTTGTGATGATTATATTATTTATATTACCGATAATAGGTTATTACATTTTTCACATGGTCTAAAACAAACAAGATTTAAAAGAATTTAAAAATAACCCTAAATTATAATGAATAGAAATCTATTTAAGTCAAATTTTAACATGACATTAATAATATTAATTTGTTGGCATTACTATTTATATTTTGTTTCAATGAGTTGCTTTGCTAGAGTGATATATTTTTAAATAATATTAAATATAAATATCGATTTTCTTTTGAGAAACTCTTAATTAGATTAGATTATAGACTTTCCATCAACTATACAAATGTTTGCGTATATGTCCCCACAAAAAGGAACACATCAAATGATATTAATTGTTGTTTGTTAGACAGTTTGAGACTGGTACCAAGTTGTTGTGGTCATTAAAGAGTAGTTAACAGGAGTGACTTAAATTTATCATAGTTATAAAAAATATTTGTAAATTCAATAAAAGGCTTAATTATTTAGCACCCCTTAAATTATTTGCAAAAATTGAAATAACTTCAATTTTTTAAATGGATTATTTGAACTAAAAATATGGCATGTATTTAAAATATTTAAATAAACTAAAAATTAGAAGAAAAAACTCAGAAGGACTAGCAATAAAAAAATAATAATTATATAACCAAATTCATACTGAAAACATATTTCAAAATCAGTAAATAGTTGATAGACCTACAAAGTCATTAAACATTAAACCTTTTATTTAGTCAAACTTTAATTAATTATAAATTTATGTTTAAAAAAATACTAAAAGATTGTTGTTAATACAGCTTCTAAAATCATACTAATAGAATACAATTATTGTTTCTATTGTCATGACAATAATTAAATATGAAATTTAAATAATATTATCGATTAGTAAAATGCATTCACAACCCAATAACTTTTGAAGTGTTTATTTTTAACAAAAACTAACAAAATTATACCACCTTAATTTAAAAAATAAAAAACCTTAAAAACATGACAATACAAATAAATTCAGTTTGTTTTGTCATGTTTACATCGTATTGTTGTTAATACAAATTGATTTTTATAGGAATATCATTCATCGCGAAATATTTTTTAATTATATTTTTTATTATTTAAAGAAATCAATTTTATATTATTCAGATTATCTGGACGCGTACATTTGTAAAATTAATAAAATAAGTTGGCAAAAGAATATCCCATTTAGAATTCTGTAGATGCTTTGAACGTTTAGGTATTGGATAAGAATTTTCTACAAGTATGTCGTAGAACACTTCTTTTTCAATTCTGTTGTTGAGACAACACGTGTCTGTCTATTTTATTATTTGTTGACTCAAACTAACATCATAGTTTACAATTTTATCTTTCTTTTTTTTGTTATTTTCCTTACCTTATACGGTTTTCCTTCTAACTTTCTCATCTTGTTTTCTTACCTATTTATTAATAACATCTAACGCATTTGGTCAATATTTTTTAGATTTTTTTATTAATTTTTAGTTTAAAAAAAACCCTTAAATTTCCACTATATCTTTTGTAGAGCTAATGTTCTTTATGCAAAAAAAAAAATGACTTCATCTTTTTGTTTATATAAGGGCATAATGAATATGTAATCAAAACAAATATGGAAAGAAATTGTTTTGAACGGACAAAAAAGATGTGCTCATCACACATATTTGTACATTTTGTATAAATAAATGTTTACAAGTGACGTAGATTTTCCAAGTGCAAGAAGTTGATGAATCCCCTAAATTTTTATAATTTATTTATATATTAGTTTTGATTTTTAATTTAAATTTTATTAAATATATTACTATTTTTTTATAAATATTAAAATAAATTATTATTATATATAAAATAAAAATATTTATATATTTTTTATTTATTAATTATATATATATATATATATATATATATAAACTCAAATTAATATTTAATAAAATAATATATGTGAAGATGTGTATCCATGAGCCGTGGTTAATATTTGTTTGGCACGTTTGAAGTGTCAAAAAACATTGTGGGGACGTACATGTTATACACGAGGCATGTTAAATCACCATAAAAAATGTGGCTGAAGTAATGCATGTGTAGAGTTTTTTAACAGATTTTCAAATTATTTTTAATACATTTAGTATAAATATTTTAATGTTAGAGAATGCAAATATTTTTTACATGTCACCATTAAAAATGTTATATATCTTATTTTTCTAAATATATATATATATATATATATATATATATATATATAATTTGTCTTTAATTTATTGTTATAGGTTTGATTTTTAATATCTGTACTACAAATAGCCTAAAGCAAATAAACCAAAAAAAGGAGGATGCATATGCAAAATCGAAGTCCTGGTGGTACACAGTATTTATTTCTTTTCCTTCGCACATACGATAGAGCTGAAAAATCCAGAATCCAATGACATTATTACTCAACACAAAACAAAATTAATAACAATTTTATTATTTATTTTATTTTATTTATTTATTCATTTATTCTTACAATAATAAATAAATGGTGCGGGCTCACTGGTAGCTGAAACTCCGTCCCCAACTTCAGAGTCTGAGACGAAGAAGAAGAAGCAGCCATGCGTTTTTGTCCGTGCTTTGGATCCGACGACGCCAGTGTGATGGCGGATCGAGACCCGGTTCTACTGGTTTCGGGCATGGGTGGCTCCATTGTGAATTCCAAGCCCAAGACGTTCGGGTTCACCACTCGGGTTTGGGTCAGACTCGTGCTCGCTGACATGGAGTTCCGCAAGAAGATTTGGTCCCTTTACAATCCCAAAACAGGTCCTATTTCTACTTCTCTTCCCACCATTTCGGAGTTTTCGGTTAAGTCATTGTTGCTCTCACGCAAATTGACGTGAACTTTCAGGCTACACTGAAACGTTGGACCAGAAGTCTAAGCTTGTGGTCCCTGACGATGACTATGGCCTCTATGCGATAGACGTTTTGGATCCATCGTGGGTAAGTAACTTACTATAATTGCTTTTACTTATAATTATTTTGTTATTTGGTGTTCTTGTGGTTCAGTGTTTCTCATGTGTTTTGTGGCAGTTTACGAAGTGTATACAATTGTCAGAGGTGTATCATTTTCATGACATGATTGAGATGCTTGTTGGATGCGGTTACAAGAAGGGAACCACGCTTTTTGGGTTCGGATATGATTTCCGCCAAAGCAATAGGTAATGTAAGAGCTATTAACTTTGTTTACTGAGTTTGTTTTGTTAGGCGTGGATAATTTATTTCATAGATACTAATATGAGAAAAAATATATGAAATGAACTGTGCATCTGCCATGACTTCAATTCAACTAATGAACTGTTTGGAGAAGAAAACAAGAAATAAACTTCTTAAGCTAAAATAAGGAACTAATAGGAGAAACGTTCACAAATCAGTTTATACATAAGTTAATTTTAATTTTGGAGAAACTCATTTCATTTTTTCTTTTTTTTTAGAGAAATTTATCCACACTATAAAACTTATGCACTAGTTTTATAGAAATTTTCTCATTTATGTTGTAGTTTAGGGTCTAAGTTCTCACTATGTGCTTATTGTTATTAATATTATTGTTGTTGATTGTAGGATTAGCAAGTCAATGGAAGGTCTTAAACATAAGCTGGAGACTGCTTACAAAGCTTCTGGTGGAAGAAAAGTCAATTTAATTTCGCATTCCATGGGAGGAATTATGATTTCATGTTTCATGTCGCTTCACAGAGATGTGTGCATAGTTTTTCTCCATGACCTCTCAAAACGCTTGTGCTATTTCTACAATATATAGGGAGGGAACTTATAGCGTAACTAGTGGTTTACATTGTTCCTTGGCAGGTGTTTACGAAATATGTGAATAAGTGGATTTGCTTGGCTTGCCCTTTCCAAGGTGATTCCTCTTTTGTTGTGTGTTTTCCTTTCTTTGGTCTACCCGTTCTATTTGGTAATCAATGGTCAGTTGTATTGGTCTATGATAGAAAATTTAAAAATATTAGGTTTCCTGAATATAATCTTGCCCTTCAGTATAGCGTATATTGAGTTTCAGAGAGAGAAGTTTCTGTAATCAATGAAAATGAATTCATTCCCCTTGAATTTCTGAGTTACATCAGGTTTATATAGTACAGAGATTAGAGACACCACTTTGTACCGAGGTAATTACAGAATCTAACTAACTCTAGGTTAGTTAGAGAATACAACTGTCAAAGAATCTACTTAGCTACAACTGTATAAGTAAATTAAACTTATTTGTGGTCTAAAACTATGCTCCAATACCCCTGCAAGCTCATGAGTGGTGAGAAGCATGCAAATCAACCACTCTGAGCTTGGACAGAAGAGCACAAAACCAAAAGCGAGAGAGCGCTTTAGTGAGGATATCTATGCATTGATCAAGGGCTGGGACATGAACAACTTGAAGAAGCTTGCTGACAAAATATTCGTGTATGAAAAACATATCCAATACCATATGATATAGTCAATGTAAAACTCATAAGATGAATTTGAAATAAATTCTTAACGTTATATAATTTATGGACAACCTTTCTATTCTACAAATTTGTGAAACTATTTAAGACTAATTATCTAGTCTTCGTATTCACGTGAAACTTTTCTTAACGGTATGTAATTTATGGACAACCTTTCTATTATTACAAATTTGCGAAACTCATGAGACTAATTATCTACCCTTTCAAATTTAATCTATCTTCCAGCAGCCTGGATGGAAATAAATACCAAGCCATGATAGTCTTCCAACATTAGTTACTAAGAGTAACTATTGTCTTTTCTTGTCGAGTTTTTTAACCATGCAGCCTACTATAAATATATGACGTGATGAAAGTGTTAGAAAAATGTGCAACTATGAATGTAAAGGGCTTAGGATACTTTGCCTTTATACGTTTCTATTTCCCTTTTCCCAGATGTCTTAACCATCCATGCTTGAATCTGAATTCCACTTGAACAGGAGCCCCAGGGTGCATCAATGATTGTTTATTAACTGGGTTAGAGTTTGTTGATGGCTTGCAAAGCTACTTTTTTGTGAAAAGGTGGACTATGCATCAACTGGTAAATTCTTCTTCCCAATTAATTTGTTCAGTCACCATATTTGAATTGAATTTTGATTGTTTGGATAATACTTTCCCAAGGAAAACTTTCCATTGCATTTTCAAAAATTTAAATCATGGCCTCATTGCAAAGGAAGGGGCTGTGGTGTGGTCCAGTTCAAATGAACCGGCTTTTCAAAGGAATGAATTGAATGGTGACTGAGCTTTGAATCCTTTGGAACTAGTGGATATGGGACAGAATGGCTGTGAGGGGATATGAGTATACTATTCCACACTTTCTCTGATAGCTTCTCACTACAACTACCATTCTAACTAAGCTATTGAAGGCTCCATACTGTTGAACCTCTGTGGCACCTGTCACAGTGATTGACTGATGTCTGCAGCTCATATCAATTAGTTCTTGAGATCCCAAAGCTTGGTCATGGTCCAATTCATTCCTTTGAGAATAGTCACAATTTTTTTTACTCTCTGTAACATGTTGCAAAACAGCCTAATGTTTTGGACTGATCTTCATTAGCTAGTGGAGTGCCCTTCAGTCTATGAAATGATGGCAAATCCATATTATGAGTGGAAAAAGCAGCCAGAAATTATAGTTTGGCGAAAGCATACCAAAGATGGGGACAACAATAGCAATTTGGAATCTTATGGACCAATAGAGAGTATCTCTTTATTTGAAGAAGCACTTAGGCATAATGAGGTAATCTATTTGAAATTTTCTTTAAATTGATGAATGTAAGATAAGTGGACACATATGCTTTAAAATGTTCAAGGATTTATATGATGAAGCTTTGATTTTTCTTGTATGATTGCTACTGTGTAATTTGTTGACATATTTTATATTCTTTTTAATATTTTGTTTGTGGTTGGTTAGACATGTATTCTTGAGGTTTTTCCTTTTATTTTTCTTCTTGTGTCCCTTTTCTGGTTAGGAGGATAACGTGTTCCCCCTTAGTTTATTTTATTCCTTTCTCTGTATCAAATTTGTTTTTGGGTAAAAAAACAACATTTCAAACTATATCATTCATGATTACACTTTTCTTTTTAAATGTAAAAGAAAGGTTATTAAGCGAATATTAGTGATGATAACTAAATCTGATTAATAAATATATAACTGCATCAATTAAACCATAAGGCGTTTTTGGCCTAATATCCTTAGCATTGCATGTCAAGTTGTTTGGTTAAACTCCTAACCATTTGATACATGGCACTTCATGAACTGCTATGCCACACCAAGGTATACTGGTTGACCCACCTAGGCTCTGCAATTTGTTTTACTGGTTCTGACAAAACCAGCTGACTTGCATATTCTTTGGCCAGTTATGACCAATTGTGGTTAATAGATAAGAACTGAACAGACCTTGGATCAGTTCCGGGTTCAATCAGGAAAACTGGTTGTTTTTGGTCTGATCCTGTTCTCAGGACACTGGTTGTTGCTCCGAGACCTCTCTGTGAAGGAAGATCTGAAGTCAGCATGACGTCTTTTGCTTAGTAAGCTAAGCAACTGTCGTTATCCAAATTTTATCTCTAATGCGAAGAAAGAAATGATTGTGTTAGTCATGAAAATCATACAATATGACCCATGTTATCTATCTTTTTTTAATAATAAAAAAAAAGATTTCTCATGCAATTTTCCTTTTACTTGTACCAACCAAGGACTTATGGGTGTTACTTTTGCAGCTAAGTTATAATGGGAAAACGATACCGCTGCCCTTTAACTTTGATATTCTTGACTGTGCTATTGAAACACGACAACTTACTGCTAATGCCAAACTACCAGATGGAGTCTGCTTCTATAACATTTATGGGACATCATTGGACACACCTTTTGATGTTTGGTATGTTTGTAAATTGTTCTTGGAAAATAATACATCTATAAACCAGAAGCATTAATATAGATTGAGAGATAGAAAAGTTGGTAGAAAATGGATCACCTTGATAATGGGGTTTTTGTCCTCCCTACAACTTTGATCTGAATTTTACAATGGCCCGCAATCAGTTTCTTATATTTTCCCATTATCTGGACTTCTCATTATTATAAATTTTTAAAACCATTTTTCATAATCTTGGTCTACATAAGAAGGAGAATCTTATCATTGGCATTTTTGAACTTGACACCAAAAAAGGATAATCTTATTCTCATGAGAATTTTGCTCCTCATTCAAAAGTTTCTATACCACGTTTGCTTCTAACATGTCCTCATGTTCATGCCTAATGCAGTTATGGTTCGGAAAATTCTCCAATTGAGGACTTATCCGAAATTTGCCACACATTGGTGAGTCGCTTAAATCTTTTACATCCCAAAGAGGAAGACCGCCTATGAGACTCTTCTATCTTCATTCTTTAAAAACAGTTCTTTGATTTGCATCGTTTTAATAAATCTCTACTGATAGGCTACTGTCTTCCATGATCCTAAATTGAGACCAGAAAATCCTGAATTTTAAATTTGAACTTAAAACAATTGCTCTTGGGAATTAGGGCTTCCTCTACAGACCGCATATAAAACTATTAACAAGAAAATTATAACTTTCTTCTACAAAATTCAAATCTACAAATGATTGCAGATCTAATTTTATTGAACGTTAATAATTCCTGACTGATGAGTTATCTCTTTGGTGTCCCTATGCTGGACCATCTGAGGTATGCGTGAGAGGAAAGAGGAAACATTCACCAATTATCATACCTAGAACAAAAGGCTTCTGTGGCAAATGGAGAGAAAGGAAGGCATGGAAGGAGAAAAGAGTTGGGATATTCTATTAGATTGAGGGTGTGGAAGAGGAGGATGAAATAAGGGCTGAGAAGAGTAGGATTGGATGGGTATTAAGGATTTTGGCAAGTGTACCAAATTGACAAATTGTTAAAAGAATTTTCAAGTCCAAGTATCAAATCCCAAAGAACTAACGTAGTACTTAAGTTACAGAACTATTGTTTGTTAGTTTCTACAAAATTAAATTGTTTGTTTCAAATAAAATAAAAATAAATAATAAAATATAAAAATAAAGATAAATGACAAGATAAGGTTGAACATAAAGAATAAGAACCTTGTGATAGGGAAATTAGTGAATTAAAGTCCGTTACGCTTTTACTTGATTTTAGTCGTTTTGTCCTCTTCTCCCCACTCTTAAGTATGGATAATAGATTCATCTTGTGTATTTTCTTGCATGTCCTTTTCCTGAGTTTCCAATTCGTTGTCATAATAGTTGAAGGTTTCTTTTTAACAAACTCTGGGAAGTCCAAGACGTAATGAGATCTAATCTTGTTTTGCCAATGCTATACAATAAATAGTCTTATGTGTTGTTACTACATGAAAAGAGAAGAACTGAGTATTATTGGATGATGATTCAATACAAGCTCTTATCCATATTTATAAATTGAACTTGTTAAACGAACGATGGAAACTCTTGATATGATAAACTTATCAAGGGAAAGATGGAGACCATGAATAGAGTACCTACTAAGGAAAAGATGGAATTATAAATACGCTTAACCTACTTTGTGAAAGACAGAAAATAATTTCCCCGTAATAATTACAAACATAATTTGAATCTATATTACGATATTCTCTCATAAATTAGTGCCTACTTACAATACAACTTTAGCTCAGAAATAAGAGTTTAATTATTTTACATTGTAAAGCAAATACCCTTTTTTTAAAAAAAGTATGCATATATTAATCTGTCCGGGATTCTTGATAAACACTATCTATGTGCTTTCACCTTGGAGAAGTTTCCTTTTATTTTGCCTTTAAGGGTTTTGATAAAAATAAGGAGGCTATGATTTCAGGGCAGGTTTCTGCTTTTGCAGTTCCTTCCATATATTTAGTTGGAGAGAAATGTGCATATTGTAGAGTGGTGTATTGTTTCCCCTGCACTGTTTTATGTTCATGTTAGTTTCAGGGGAATATCTATGACTGGTATGAAAGAAATTAGAAAATTTAACTTTCTTTTTTGCCATTTTAACTCTATTATCTTTTTTTATGTGTCTAGGACATAATTCTCTCATTTCTTGCTAATAATACGTTGTTGTGTGTGTGCATGCATGTACTAAGAAATTTTCTCCTCTATTTCAGCCACAATATTCTTATGTCGACGGAGATGGAACAGTTCCTGCTGAATCTGCGAAGGTACTCTCTCCAATCTTTCTGTATTCTTTATAACACTTAGCAGTAGTCATGTTGAAATATTTGCTGCCATTTGAAGATAGATGCATATGGAAATAGTCCTAATAGAAGGCCATTTGTTTGAACTATGGGATGCTCTCTTAAAATAGTACTTCCAAATTTATCTTCTGATAGCAATTACTTATTAAATGTGTAATGTAGTAAAATCAAAACTAATTATGATAGTTTATTAGTATTAATTTAGGGAGTTATTTTGTCTTCTCATATTACAGGCTGATGGACTCAAAGCCATTGAAAGGGTGGGTGTTCCTGCTTCTCATCGTGGAATATTACGAGATGAAACAGTATTTCAACTTATTAAAAAATGGTTGGATGTTGAGCCAATTGTTAGCAAGCAATCTAAAACATCTAAAGTTGCAGATGCTGATCCAATCATGCCTATGGTTCTATAACTTGTTAGTTTCGTTCCTCATTTCCCAAAAAGAAAATGTCATTCCTTCCTTTTCTTTTTTCTTTTTTTAAGAAAAAAGAAAAGAAGCTTCGAAAGACCTACGGTACCGTTCTTGGTGAAAGAAACAATTTGGCGCATGTGCTGGTAATGTAAAAATCTGGCTGTAGCATAATTTCATTATGCACAATTCATCATAGACTTTAGGATAAATGGTAAATTTGGTCCTTAGATAGGTGGGCCACTCTCTATTTAGTTATTGAAAAGTCAATATTTATTTGATAATGTGTAAAAAGTCTATAATTATAAGATTATTTTGTCATTAAATCAGGAGTTTAGGAACTAAATCGACAGCCATTTATATAATTATGGACTAAATTGATAATTTATCTTATACTTTAGACTTTGTTATCGCTTTGCGTAGTATATTTATTTGTCAGATGGGTAATTGGATTTTATCAGATCGCTTTGATCAACATGTTAAAAATGCTAATTTTACTTTTCTAAAAGTAAAAGTGAAATAAAATCAACATGTTTTTATATTATATATCACTCAACATGTTAAAATGCTAGTTTACCTTCTTAAAGTAAAATAAAAACAAAAATCAAGAGCTAAAAAACAGTACCGTCTAATTTTTTTTGTCCCAAATTTGAAATATGGTTGTTTTGATATGCTACATACTCGTGCTTTCTTAGTTTTACTGAGGGAAGATAAAGAGATTGAATCCAGTTATTTTTAATTTAAGCTTATAGATAGTGTATGATTGGTTTGATAAATTAAGAAAATTTATTTCGTAGTTAAAAGTTTACTTGCAATTTACTTTACCTTGATGTGTTAAAATTAACTTTGTTGTTCATAAATTCGGATAAAAATGTTTCAATAATATAAAAATTAAAATTAATATAAATTATTTAGTGAATTTGAATATATAAGGATTAGTTACACACTTCATATATATATATATATATGGGATTTTTTTATAACCGTGGGTGTCTTTGAAAAAAAGAAAAAAAAAGTTATATATATGATTTATAAAATAAGAGATACTATAAAAAAATATTATTACCATTTATACATTTAAAAAACTAGTAGAAAGATAAAAAAAAAAAATAATCTATACACACCGGTACTAAATGTATGTATTTCTACACTAAAGATAAAATGAATTATACATGAATATAATTATTTTATATGTGTGCTCTTCCTAATATTAGATTATAAATTATTTAATTATTGATTAAGTTTATGAACAGGTTTCTAAACTTTTTTTTTTAATTGTATTCCTAGACTAAAAACAAAAGTTTTTGGATTTTTTTTCCGAATAAAAAGCTACAAAATGACAATTTGTAACAGTTTTAGAAACAATAAGTTCTCAAATTTTTTTTTAACATGATCAAAGAACCTAATAATACAAATAATTTTGAGAATTATTTAAAAAATCATAAATGATTTATTATTCTATAAAATAATTAAACCTTAAAAAATAGATGTTGAACCATTTTTTTTTACTATTTAACTTAAACGTTAATGAGGTCCATATAATGTCCAAATAGATTTTATTGAATTATTAAAAAAATTACATGCATCTTTAAAAATTATGTATTAAACTAAAATGGAACGTTTGTAATTGTTTAACACGTGACCTATATGATTTTACATTAATAAACTGATCTCCTAATGTTTTGTTTTATAAAATAATAATTAAAATTTAAAAAGATAAAATTAATATTATTCTACTAAAAAATATAGATTTTTATACATTATTTTATGTATCAAAACATTATAATAATATGAAAACTAATTTTATTAATATAATTTAGTTTTAAGAATTTATTTATTTTTAAATGGATGGATATAGGGCTGAACGAAATCTAGAAAATCAAAATCCACTTAAAATAATTATTTTAAACCGAAACAAAAAAATGCTATTTTGATACCTATAAACATTATTTTATGGTGTCTTATGAAGAAGAGAAAGATAATTAACCAGTTCTATTTCTGGTTTAATTATTACCAAAAGACAAAGTGTAGAAGAGTATGTGGTTGTGTTGTATCAATAGCCAAAAACAATTTGTACATCTAAAAATCCCTCAAACACTCTTAATCACTTTGTTGCTCTGTTTAATAGCTGGGACCCTAGCCTTGGCCATTTTCCCAAACTGCAACATTGACCCTAAAACATAGCATTCTATCCACTGCACTCGTACTTCCACTTCAACTTTGTAGAGCAAATCAAGCACTAAAGCAATTTCACCCACCTTACACCACCAAATCATTTATAGACTGTAAAAACCATTTTATAGAACTACCTTTACCAGAATATCTTTCTCCATGTTTCCATAGAGATTTAGAAATCTCATCCACATTTTCCATATTCTAAGGAAGATTCCTCAAGAAAAGCTGCCCAAGTTAATTCCTTTTGGTGGACAACCAATTATGAAAAGTTTCATGCTACTAGGAAACTTGCTTAGCCCATTTTGGATTGCCATTCCCAACAAGTTACCATGCTTAGTTGTCTTTTAAATGAAGCATCTAACTTTTACAAAAACCATCAATTTGGTCAATTAATCCTTCAAAACACAACACAATTGTACAAGTAATCCTTTAAGTATTAGAAGCCATGCTACATGATCATTCAAAATCTTTTAAATTACTCTTTCAACATTAATAAAAGATATATAATTCTATTTGTTGAAAATTATTTAGAAAACATATTGCCAAAACACCCCCAATATTCTTTCTATTAGACTCCACTTTTATTGGTGATATATGTAAGTATGCATGCTATCAATGATTAATTAAGACAAGAAAAAACAGTGCTAGACCTCAAAATTTGTTGATGGGAGTGCCTCACAATCACATGAACATAATGGTTAAAGAAATGCATAGTTTGTTGAGCTTCCAACAATGTGTCCCAATCACTAATTAAACTTCACATTGTCTAATCCTTGTCCTCTCAAGAATACCACAAAAGATGTACATAAGCACAAGATCCATCAACACACATTGACCAACACCCACACGCAACACTACCCTTTTTTCTTACTCTTCTTCAACTTTGCTTACATTACTTCTGTCCCAAAAATAATGAACAAACCATTGTTCCTCTGTGTGTTTTTAACTACTACAAACTGATTTTCTTTAAGAAAAGAAAAAAAAAAAAAAACTTCTGAATATTGTAATTACTTATTTAAGCAATTTCCTTTCACTTGTATATTTCTTTCACGAATGAAAATATTTAGTAATGACCTTCTTATATCATCAACTGAACAAATTATTACACGAATAATCGATTTTTATAACATTGAGTATTTTTAATGAGAGTTAATAATAGAAAAATTCTAAACAATAGAATATGAGTTTTTTATTTATAAATTACTCAATTTTTTTTATTTTTATATCTTGAATTCTCAATACTTATCTATCACCTTATTGATACCAAAATTGTGGAGAATCTACCGTTTCTTGCCTCATGGTAGTTGAATTTATTTTCTATCTTGATAGAGTTCAAACGTATGTAGGTTGATATACTAATTAATTTTTGTTTCAATTTATCTGGAAAATAAATTATAAAACAGATCCGTTATGCTCTATATATTTAAAGATAAGGCATATTCTGGTAGCTATCCATTAAAATGTATTTGAATGGATAAGAAAAATCAAATGAAGGTTTAATTAAATCAGAGAAAAATAGTACAATTAAGTAAGTTGAATATAGTAAAAGAGGGTTACTTTATTGTTTGTAATATTGAAAAGTTGATTAAAAAATAGTTATTAGGGTTAGTTCTACATTGCTCCATATTTTATCATTACATAAAGAATGTTAATAAATAGTGCATGGAAGGGTAGCTAGTCAAAGTCAAAAAAGTTGAAATCCCAAACAGAGTTTCCACAAGCACAAAGCTAGGGCATTGGATTTGATAAATTAATAAAAGCCCCAAGAAAAAGACACGAATGAGCATTCCTAGGGCTTGTTAGCTTACGATAGGATTCTATTTGAGAAGTTAGACACAGAAGCACATGCATGAAGCATGCAATTTTTTAATATTCGACTATTCCAACCCAAATCCCATAATCTCTTCTTCACTTCCAACATCAAAAGGGTTTTAATTCATCAATAAACAACTTCATCTTCAAAATTCAATAAACTCTTACTCGAAATTAATTTGTTTCATTGTTGGTTTGAATGTAAAACTTAATAGAAAGTGTTCAAAAATATGCTTCCATAATTAATAATGTCTTCAAAAAAATTCATTTATAACGTTAATTTCTTTTGCATGAAAAATGATATAACAACACACCCTTTTCTAACTTACTCTTTAAAATAATGAACATTGGATAAATTTATGGAAGTTTCATATTGAACAATGAGATTAATTTATAACTTAATAAATAAAGGAAGTATAAATCAATGAAAAAAAAAAAAGGAGTTGCTAACACTATTTTATTTGCTTTTTAGTAAAAGACAAAAGTTGAAGCTAATATGTCACTAGCTATATATTGTTTCAAGTCCAACAAATTATAACCCATACCCCAAAAGCATGAAAATAACTTAGAAAAATTTGAGGCTTTAAGTCCTCCAGAGGTTAAATAGGAACCTCTGGGCCCCTAATTTGGTGCTTCCATCACTCACCCACTAATGCCATGCAGTGGGGTCAAAACCTTAGGATTAGTCAGCAGGTGATAAAACTTGTTAGAGTGAGTTAATGACTATTAATCACACATACAAAACTTTAGAATAACTGGTTTTTAATTAATTCATACCCAATAACTTTGCATGAACATAATCTACAATCCTATAATGGCTATATCTTCCCTCTTAAATCACTAGTTTTATTTATATGGTTTTGTCTCTTAATTAATTGCATATAATGAAATTTTAAACATATTCATCTAAAATTTGAAAAAAAAAAAGTGCAATTCAAGTGAAAATCTACATTTTTTGACGAGCGAACCTAAAAGTGTGTTGAACTGTGATAAACCCAAATGGTGGGTAACTGATAATTTAAAGTTATGATGATGGTGATGAATAAGTATGTTTAGATGGATGAAAAGATAAAAGTGTAATAAATAGAGAGATAAAGCATGGGAACAAAAAGTAAGGGAAAGGATTGCGACCCACTACACCAGTACATGCTACAACACTTTAACAAAGTTCACTTTTCTTGGAAATCTCTTTGATGAAGAAGGGGCAGTGTTTGTGCATGGATAAGGGTGAAAACAATCCTGCAACAAGCAGATGCTCAGAGAGAGAAATCATTCATAAAATAATGTCTGGTTTTCTTTCCGAGGAGGCACGGGTACTCCGCTGATTTCTCCGATGAATTTCGATTTCCTTCCCCTCATTGTTTCCTTCACTTGTTTTCATGCCATTTCCACCATTTTTTTTTCTTACCCTTTTGTTCTTTATCACTCAACTCTTCTTATTATATTCGTTCATATTCTTAACCAGAATGAGAAACAAACAAAGGAGTGAAAAGGGGTGTTAATAATAATAACAACGAAAGTAAAATTAAAAAGAAAGATTCACTTTGTTGTTTTCTCATTGAATGAATCAGTGGACAAAAGATATTGATCACCACCCAAAGAGCCCTATAGCTGTGTAAACCTTCAATAAACCAAGGTTTTGCAGAACATTGTTTTTGGAGCGTGCATTTCTTTCCATGGCTTCCATCACCCTATACCATCCATTTTCGTTCCTAAATCATTTGTTCAATTAATTTTCAACAGTTATTATTAACTACTCATGAGTCGGAATAATTAAGTTAGCATTTATTCATCATTTCTTGGCCTTTATACTCGGTTGTTAATGCTATTTTTCAGTAAATTATAGCTTATGACACTATATTTCCACTTAATGAATAAAAAGTAAAAGTAAAAATAATAATATCTATGTATTAGTTGCAGTACAGTTAGCCAGAGTTATATGCAACAAAATAACTTTCAAATAAATTTTCCAATGATCGATAAAGTGTACGTATAAAATATTCTATGTTATTTTCACTTTATTCTCATTGCATCATTTTGACATTCTTCTCTTTTCGAATAATTAAAGAACATATACATATCAGCACACATTCGTTATATATAAAGAAATATAGATTATATAAGCCATTCAAATTGCCAAACACAAGGAATACATATGAAGCAAGTAAGATGCAAAATATTTTTCATATTGGTCATTCCATATGAAAATTAAGTGTCTCGTCAACGAACCATACGAATCAGAACTATCCTTTAACATGCATAATGTATAGAAAGAATTCTGTTAAGAAAAACTAGTTCCAAGCATATACATTGATGAAAACTCCACCCTTTGTATGATCCTTGTTATTCCAGAACTACAAAAACCCGGTGAAAATAAAAGCATCCCAATGATCTATCTGTCCACATATTCTCCATGTTAATTACCAAAATTCACAGCAAATGGTTCTGCCATGACTAAACTTGAGGCAAGCTAGATTACTTAGACCCTAGTGAACTATGGATCTGCAAGTTAGAGATGGTGAATGAAACCCTATATATTCTCATCTTCAAAAGGTGCATACTATAGAAACTTCATAAGAGGAAGAAGAAAGTCAAAAATATTTGCATCATTGTCATCCCCTTGGTGACTCTACCTTCTCCCTAGATTTCCATCTACTCATGCAATAACGAGAAGGGTGGAGCACCATGGCAGAGAGCCATACTGGTAGACCTTGGTGCAAGAGTTGGAATAGCAGTTGGAACCCAAGTGTTGCATGCAGAACCTTGATCATATGCACTAGCCTTGATTGCATCTACAGAAGATGTTTGCTGTTGGGAAAGATAATACAAGTTCCTTGCATGTGCATGATAAGCATCAGATCCATAAACGCTTTCGTAACCAAGTGCCTTCATCTCATTATCACCAAATCCATTACTGCCTCTTTGATTTTGATCACCATCACTTGCAACAACAGTAGTAGTCCCCATAGGCATCACATAGCCCCCACCACCTCCATAACCATCATAAACTACCGAGTTAGATGAAGAACTATGGTCAATGGAAGCAGAATCCATGCTCATGATAGGGTGCAACCCGGAATTTGTGTGAAAAAAGTTATGAGTGCTATTATTCCCTAGCTGTAGTTGATGAACATCAGGATAAGACAATTGATGAGAGGTATCAGAATTGTCATGTTGTTCTTGCTTGCACCATAGTCTCTGTCCATAAGGGTATATGGTGTTGCAAGGTTGAGGTTGGTGGAATGAAAGAGCATTGTGCCAGTTTTGATGAGTAGTTGTTCCTCCTGCAAAGTTGTTATTGATTCCTTGAGTTAGGTGAGAGTTCAAGATGCCATGTTCCTCTTGGTCTGTTCTATGACCTTCCACATTCAGCTCCACCTGTTCCATATCCTTCAAACGCTTGGCAGCGCCACCAATTGGCAATGTAGTGCTCTCAAGTATGCTCTTAACATCATATCTGCTCATGTCAAAGTTTGTAACAGCACTCAGTCCTCGGAACTTGATGGCCGCAACATCATATGCCTCTGCTGCTTCTTCTTGAGTGCCTGAAAATTTTATTACTATTTCGTCAATAATGAATACCATTAAAACTAATTACTACTAAATCATCAAACATGCACATTTTAATTTACGAAATTTATCATTTTGCAAATCATTATAATAATTTGGTCACCTGAATGACAAGAAATACTTCTTTAACTTCACCAGTTTGTTGCTTCGTGGTTGTGTTTACTTTTTAACTACTCTCTTCTGTTTAGTTGCTTCTTATATTGTATTTACACACTCTATTTGCTCACATTTGATTCAGTTATTCAAATTGTTTTTGCCTATGAAAAATAATTTAAGAACTAAATATACATGCACATAGTATATATCTAACTCCTTTGCTGATACATCCGTAGGATAATCACATGCATACAATCATACATCTAATTGGATATACTCTTGAGTTTATTTATCCATGCATGTTAAAATGACTGTCATGTATGGTTCAATGGTTTTCACTGCAAAATATATGAATATAAGCTTACTGAATGTTCCCAAGTAGAGATCCTTGTTGCCTGCAACTCTCCCAATCCTAGCTTGCCATCTACCATGTTGATGGTGTCTGCAATGATAAGTAAATACGATATTATTTAAATCAGCCACATCGCAGAGTAAAAATATGTAAATATTAATGTTTACATTTTCATGCATATTATTAATATTACATCCAATATTTTCTTTGCCAAATTTAAATGAATACACTCCAACAAACACGGTTCAAATGACATAGTTGGCTAATGCAAAACTATTGTCACTACTGTGTTCATATAGATTAAAGACTCTTGTGAACATATTAGTGTAAAGTCAACTATACCTTGTTACTCCTCGATAAATGGATGCACCGCGAGAAAACCCACTGCTCTTTCTGTAACAACGTGATTTTTTTATTATCGATAATATCTTTGAAAAAAAAAACTAATTAATATGTAGATTAGTAGTGACACTTGCAAATACCTTCTCAATGACGCAACGTACTCTTGCCTTGTCATGTGCTTCATTTCTTCCAACTCTTTCTCGTAGTGACTAATCTAAAATGCATTCATTGTTGATGGAGACATAAAGTATTCGATGTCAAAAGACTACATCAAGTGATCATGTATACATGCATAGTTTGCATTATCAGACAAATAACAGATTCTACTATGAAAAGACACATCCCATCAAATGAGGAAACTTTTTTCTGTGTACAGGGACACCAACTATACAATGTGCCCTCTAGGAGTATATTGCCATAAGTTGAAGCTTCCCTATTCACCATTTTTGTTTGTCAATACCAAGACCAACTTTGCCTAGAGCATTATGTGAAACACAACCCTTAATTTATTGAACATAAGCAGGAAAAAAAAGTGATAAAAAATCTAGGAATAACTTACTGGAAAATTAGTTGTTGTAGTTGTTCCCCAGTATTTTAGTGCTGCCAAATCGTAGGCTCTAGCTGCCTTTTCTTCTTTGTCATAACCTCCTGAGAGTAGTGACAACAAATGATCACACCAAGGTTAACAGATTTTATGTTTCTCCTCTTATTTAAGCCAAAAAATAAACAATAATAATACAACATAAGAACTATATCTTTTTTTACTCACCCAAGTAAACTGAAAGGCCATGTGTTGAAGAAAGTCATTACCCCATAATGGGTGTGGAGATGAAGAACAAAGATTAACAGTATCAGTTAGTTATAAAGATCCAAAGGGGGACAAAGAAGAAAAAAATAAGGGCAAAAATAAGCATGAAATTAGAGGAATATGGTAGAACATTTACCTTGTCTTCCTTTGCGAGTCTGTCCCTCTCTTCTACAGCTGTTATCCCAGAGGTGAGCCTCATATCTCCCTGTCCACCTATGCCTTCAATTATGTAAAAACAAAACTAATTATTCACATGGCCATTTCAAAATAAAAATACAATAATATATATATATATATATATATATATATATATATATATATATATGTAAGAAAAAGAAAAAACTTGTTACAACAGCAATGGAACTGACTGAAGAAACCTTTTAACTGAGATTTGAAGCAGCGATGAAAGATTTGTGACTGCTAATATTTACATAAAATATATTAATACAAATTTTTGCTTAGGGTATATAAAATAAAAAACCTTGTTACACCACGATAGATAGAAGTTCTTTGTCCAAAAGTGTCAATGGACTTTCTGGGTGCAGTTTCAATGGCTCCGGTTTGAGTGGTATCAAGTGCAGCCGTGGTTAGTGGTTGTTTGTTATCTGAAGAACTCTCTCCATTATCCACACTAGCAGTGAGAAGAGGCAGTGAAGTGCTTGACTGTGAACCAGTACTCATGGAAAGTGATAGAGTCTGAACACTACTTCTACTATTGCCACTATTTTCATTGTTGTTTTCTGAGTGCGGTGGTTGGTTCCTCAACCATGTCTTTATCATGGATAACCCTATAGAATTAGTACTGTTTGTACTACTACTGCTACCCCCACTGGCCGCTACTGGCTGAGTCGGAAACATATAATCTGCTGAGGCTGAGTTACCTCCGTAGGTTTGTTCGTGTTCACCAAATGAATGACCACCCAGAAAGTTTTCAAGCTTTGGCTGTTGTTGATGTTGGTTTCTGTTCATGTTTTGGTTACTGCATGAAGTTCCCAATAGCAAGTTTTGGCTGTTGTAGTTCTCCTTCCAATCTGAGAAATAATAATAAAAAAAAAAGGACAAAATGAGCGAAAAAAAGAACATCTATAAAATATATCTTAGTATAATTAACCAGAAATAAATCCTTTTTTAGAAATAAGGACAAAAAGTGAAGAATGAACTTGATTTTCTTCATTTTAGTATGTGGATAGGAGGGGTTGCACTTATGGAAAATCTAAGAAGAACAAAGTATTTATTATAAACTTATGGGAGAGAGGTGGAAACCTTGTGTAGTGTGAATGTTATTGTTTCTATGAAAAGCTTCATATATGCCATAAGAAGGAAGGTTGAGTAAATGAGGAGTTGAGTCAGAAGTTAGATCAAAGCAGTCTCCTGCAACATCAGTGCTTGGGATTCCAGCAGGGTGGAAGCCAAAACGAGAAGGTGCCGGTTGAGGGTGATCTTGACTAGAAGGGTGTTCTTGAGGAGAGAGAGAAAACCCCAACAAGTTCATAGACCCCATGTGTGGTAATAGTGATATTTAGAAAGAGATTACAAAGTCCTCAAGAAACTAGATATACATACAGGGTGAAAATAGTAACAACATGAAGAAGAAGAAGCATATAGATAGCTTTTATATGAAAAGGGTAAGAAAAAAAGAAGAAGAGGAGAAGAAGAAGGGTCAAATTCTTG